TGAGATGTGTGATTATAATAGGTAAGTTATAACGATTGGTTAGTGTGATTATAATACAAGTATTGTAATACATCGATAGGTATAATTATAATGCATGTATCATAATTTATTAATTAATATTGTTATAACCCACTTATTATGACATGCTAATCTAAGAAATGAATAAAATGGTATAGAGTAAAGGATGGAATGATTGAGTTTGGTTATGTGTGAAATATTATGTATTGAGGTGATTGTTATGAAGCTTCATCTGTTGTAGTTCATTAATACAGTACATGAGCTAGAACTATTTTGACATGTATTCTGTATTAAATAATATTCTATGTATTGCTCGATTCATTTATAAAATAAAAGATTTAGTGGAGCGGATGATACTCACACTTATGAATTATTTTCTAGCAAATGAAATTGAAGAAAAAATGAAGATTGAACCGTTCTAAGATCATACCCTTGGTGGAATTGTAGGGAAGATTGCTTTATTAGGACTTAAATTAATTTTAAAAATTATAACAATTCTGATTTAGTTTTCATTCAAAGTTGACAAGAATATGTAACCATTTTTATATTATATATTCTAAATTTATAATATTTTAATAAGTTTTGTTGTAAATAATACTTTGAAGTGTATTTGTAATTTTTATAGTAAGCTATTTTTAATTTGTAGTTTTCATTCAATTTTAGATAGAAATTTACTCTACTGAAAGGTAGTGTTGATCATTTTTTTAACTTATATGCATGTAATACGAATTAAAAAAAATGTCAGGTTATAATTTTTAGTTTTTACTCTATTTATAAATTTAAAATTTTAAAAACTATCTCTTGTAATATTTTGAATATCTTTGAGTTTTCATAAACTAAATAAAAGAAATGTAAGTTCCACTTTTTCTTTAATTCTTTAAGCTGTAAATATAAAGAAATTCACTTCATTTCCCTTCATTATAAATTATTATCTATATGGAACAAGAAATTAAGGATGTTACAGTAAGAATATACATATACGTTTGATACGTGATATTACAAAGCAGTTGTTAAAAGATGAACTTATATCCATTGATTATGTGAGGTTAGAAGTGAATTTGACCGATCCTCTGACTAAACCAAACATAATGTTACAAAGTAGCTGTTAAAAGATGGATCTATATCCATTGATTATGTTATGTCAGAAGTGAATTTGACCGATCCTTTTATCAAACTAATTGGAAGAAAAATTATTTAAGAAACATCAAGAGAATGGGTCTTTAGCCAATTACATATTAATAATGGTAAGAACCCAACCCTTGTGATTGGAGATCTCATGAAGAAAGTTCGTATGGATAATAACAAGTCATTGTTAATTGTACTAACACTAATATATATTTTTTTTCATTCTTACGGTATAAGAAGTGTTAGATTACATGAAGAGAAAATAAGTTTTGAAACTTTTAATGAATTTTATATCCCTTATTAGTGATGTATAAATGCAATATACATCTTATGAAATTATTTATGTAAGCGTCAAGTAGGGGTGCTTGTATGAGATTAAGGAAAAATCTCTAGAGCCTTTATGAATCACTAGGCACACACATGGCTTATTTGCGTAAAATAACATAAACGACATGTTGAGTGTAATGTGATAAATAAATTTGTATTATATGTTAAAATGTATTGGTTCATAAAAGTATCACATCACCAATACATTGTATATTATGCTTTATTTGTCTAGACATGATTTATAGTCCAAAAGATATCATGTCTGATGCATTTTCACTCATGATGTAACTTATTAAAAATTTCTTTCTTTCATCTTTTTATTATTATTATTAATAGTTTTATTTTAACTATTATTCAAAATTATTTTGAAATATGTGGAAAATTGTAGTAAATTGTGTATATTACAAGAGTATTTTAAGAAAATATACTCTAGGCTTGTAAACAAGCTAGGAAAAGTGACAGTAAAACACAAGTGACTTTTGAAATGTTGCATTTATTATTACAATTATTTACTTTAATGATAGAATTCATTCTAATTAAATCCTTGCTTTAATTGTTTGAATTATTTACTTTTATTCTGATAATTATGGTAATTAATTATAATCATTATTTTTATATTTGTTACTCTATACATTTTTTTAAATATAAAATTATTTATACAACTTCTTACTCTATGGTTCTTTTGAGTCACTCTTTCCAAAAAAATCTACTATTCTTCTTCTATCTTTTGGGTTACTATTTCCTTGCTATTACTTGTTTCATCCAAAAGGGATTATTATATTTTGGTAGATTATGCTTAGACAAATAAATCTTTAAAGACAGTGTTATCACATGCTTAAACATATATTATTTTTAAACACTTATCTCTCTCATTTACTTTTTTGAATCATAACTAAATTGTAAAGAGGTATAATCTTTTTCAATAGATAGTCTCTTTGGTAGATTTTTATTTGTTTCATGACCTTTTCATTTATTTTGTATCTATAAAGAGATTCTTGAATATATGCTAGGTTGTATTTAATATTTTAATATTTAATTAATATTTTATCATTTTTGATGTTTTTTAGGTATATATTATCGAGTAATCGCTAATTTTGATATATTAAAATAACAAGAGGATTTCATTAAAGTTTCAATAAATTTAAAGTACAACATATTTTAGAAATTTTTTTATAGTAAAAATTAATTTCTGTAGGGTTTGTTAATTTAAGTGGTGGTTTAGTTATTTTAGTTTGTGTGTTTTTTATGTTTTTAATTTTGTTTTAGATCACATGTATATTCCACTGCTGGTAATTATATTCTAAATGAGTAAGATCATTATGAGTGATAAAGTTTTATTCTAAATATTAAATAAAACAATATTTATTATATTTTAAATTTAAAATTACAGGTAAAATTGAAATTATTTTAGATTCACATATTTGATAAAAAAAATTTCACAATGTAATAGGCCTTAAAAGCTAAAAAAAAAAAACACACACACACACACAAGTTACGATACCGTGGTCCAGATGCACAAAATGCTCGATATTTTTGTTTCTAATTTTATTTCACATTGCATAATGTTGTAAGATTTTAAAATATAATGATAAAATAAATTTTTTTAGAATTATTTTATCTTGATTAACTTTTTTTCCTTTGACAAATATTATAAACATTAATTCTGAGTTTTATAACCAAATCAAATATAGATATAAAATTTAATAGTAAATTATCATAATTGAATAAAGTTTTTCTATAATTTATAAATTGTGAAATTAGGAAAAATTAAATTTTAAAAAAATTAAATTACCGAATTCAAAATATATAGGAAAAGTTTTTCTATGATTTTTTGTGCATTTTTAACAATTTATAAAATAAACCCAATATGTTGAAATGCTAAAATTTGGATTATATATTCCCAAAAAATCATTTTATAAAAATTATAAATATGTAAAAAGTTATAATTTATAAGTTTGCAATTTTTTAAAAGTAAAATAAGTTACTTTCATTTTTGCGTCGTTTATGTTTTTGATGCGCAATATTGATAGCTTTTTTTGTTTATATATAAAATGTCCTCTGCAGTATTTTTTTTTTCTTCTATAGTTTTGTTTAAATATTAGTTTAATATATTTTACAATTTGTTGAAAGATTCAATTTTTAAATAAATTCAAACAGTTAAATTTATTAATTTTTATTTCATAAAAGGTATTGAATTAATAAATATTGAAAAAAAATTAAGCTTTAATTAACACACTCAATATGCGTGTGTCCAATTCATAAAATTTTTATTAAATTAGATTAATTTTATAAAATTTCGTACAAAAATAAATTAAATAAATATTTTATTCTTTCACTTTTTTTAACAAGTATTATAATTTTAAAATATAAATAAATATTTTAAAAGTTATTGAATAAAAAATAATATAAAATAATTTAAAGGTTGACTTAGTTAATTTTATATACTATTAAAAAGTGTAAATATTCAAGTTTAACATGTAATATTAACAATTTTTTCTTTATATATATATATATATATATATATGTAATTAGAATTTTTAGTTTAACCGTTTATTTTATGATTAAATTATGCAATAAAAAATTATTAAAAACATAAAATATGTGTAATTTATACTATTGTGATTTAATATATATATATATATATATATATTATTTTAATATTATGTGATACTTGATTTTATAGATATTCGATTTTGATAATGGTTTTTTGTTTTAATTTGAATTGATTTGATGTCCTTGAAAGTGTAGGGTTAAAAATATAATTATTTTCATAACCAAAAAAAATATAATTATTTTTCTTGTATCACTTGAGATGGATTCTTTTAAATATTCTTTTTATATTTGAGATATATTTTTAAATAAATATTTACAGAAAAGATAAGAATTAAAAATTATATAAATATTAAATATGATATTAATTTTTAATTATTTAACTAACATATATGTTACAGATAAAACAATTCTAATGATATAAATTAGATTACTTATTTATGTTGTTAAGTAAGAATTTTATTTTATAACCAAGGCTTTAAGTTGGGAATTATTTAACTATTTCAAAAAATATTTTAAATTTTATTTTATTGGACTTTTCTGTTTGATCAATCTTTTAATTATGATTTATTTCACCTTTAAACAGATTCTTTTTATAAACAGTAAATAACTTTAAATTATGATTCATTTTTATTCTTTTTTTTTTTAATATGGGTCAAAGAAGTACGCTCCTAAAAGAAAACATGTATTAGTTATATTGTGTATCAACTAGCTCGCTAACATATTTTATCAATAAAAAATGGTGACAGTCTCTGATTTTGCCCAACGATTATTTGACTGCAGCCTCGGAGAAACCGAGATTATATGAATTTAGATATAAATATAAAATATAAAATGGCAATACGAATTAATTAAATTATGAGTTTTGACAACCTGCCCTGCTCTGCACTCTCTGCACAGAAAGGAAAGAACAGAACAGAAAACAAAAGAACAGAACCACATGAATGGCTGCTACATCTAAATTTGGAGTATGGAGTTCAACTACTCCCTCTCATCGTTGCGCTGTCAGAATGCGTGTTTCAGTTCCCCACAATACTAACACTGATTTTTCTCTTCGCAACTCCCAACAAGCTTTCACTCTCTCAATGGTATTCCCCACTTCATCTCTTCTTAATTCTGTATCTCTACATTGAGTGCTGGATGGAGGAAAATAACCTGTGAAAACATTTTCATCTTTTAATTCAGGATTTAATGCCTGGAGGTGTTAATTCACCAGTTCGTGCCTTCAAATCAGTTGGGGGGCAACCAATTATGATTGATTCTGTTAAGGGATCTCGCATGTGGGACATTGATGGCAACGAATACATTGATTACGTGGGTTCTTGGGGGCCAGCTATAATCGGTCATGCACATCATAAGGTTATTTATATTCATTCTACATCAAGTGTTGTAGTAACCTCTTTGTATCTTTTGTTCTAAAATCGTGTATCCCGCTTTTGGGTTACATTTTTTTGTTTCTGCTCTTGATTTTATTGTCTGCGATGGATATTTGCAGCTTAGATTGAGACTTGAGAGATTCCTCAGTCCTTGTGTTTATATATTCAGTTTATAATTAGATAGATTATAAATGTATCATTTTGATGCTATATTATGATTAACTATAGATGTGTGAAAACAGTGGAATTACAAATTCTCAATCTAAGAAGACACTAGGTAGAGAATTGGTAATTCATAAGAAAAGAATCAGGAAAATAAGTTATAGAACTACTTGTAATTTGTCAAAACAAGATCCTACTAGTATATGGTGCTCCATTCAATATCTCTTTCTTCTTGAATTTTTGTATTAGTCTGAGATAATGGCATGACTTCTTTTTATTCTTATTACTTTATTTTACCATCAAAGTCATCTTTGATAAATATTTTCCTCAGGTACTTGCTGCCCTGGCTGAAACCATGAAAAAAGGAACAAGCTTTGGGGCACCTTGTCTGCTTGAAAACACTTTAGCTGAAATGGTCATCTCTGCAGTTCCCAGCATAGAAATGGTTCGATTTGTAAATTCAGGCACAGAAGCATGCATGGGGGCACTCCGTCTGGCGCGTGCTTTTACAGGGAAGCAGAAGATCATCAAGTTTGAGGGCTGTTACCATGGCCATAGTGATGCCTTTCTTGTCGAGGCAGGCAGTGGAGTTGTCACTTTGGGACTTCCTGATTCTCCTGGTGTTCCTAAATCAGTTACTTCTGACACCCTCTCAGCCCCCTACAATGACATTTTAGCTGTAGAGAAACTCTTTGAGAACCACAAAGGAGAGATTGCAGCAGTTATCCTTGAGCCTGCTGTAGGAAACTCTGGTTTCATTGTTCCTAAAGTTGAATTTCTTGAGGCCTTATGCAAAATTACTAAAGAGAACAATGCTCTTCTCATTTTTGATGAAGTTATGACTGGATTCCGTTTGTCATATGGTGGAGCTCAAGAGTATTTTGGCATTGTTCCTGACTTGACAACTCTAGGAAAAATAATTGGTGGAGGTTTGCCAGTAGGTGCATATGGTGGGAGAAGGGATATTATGGAGATGGTGGCACCAGCAGGACCTGTGTATCAAGCTGGAACATTGAGTGGGAACCCCTTGGCTATGGCTGCAGGCATTGAAACTCTGAAGCTTATTAAGGAACCAGGAACTTATGAGTACTTGGATCATATCACAGGAGAACTTGTTGAAGGGATTCTTCAAGTTGGGAAGAGTGCTGGACATTCTATGTGTGGAGGCCATATAGGTGGGATGTTTGGTTTTTTCTTCACACAAGGTCCTGTTTGCAATTTTGATGATGCTAAAAAGAGTGACTTGGCCAAGTTTGGTAAGTTCTACTGGGGAATGTTGGAGCAAGGAGTATATTTTGCACCTTCACAATTTGAGGCTGGCTTTACCAGCTTGGCACATACTTTTGAAGACATCAAATCCACAATAGCGGCTGCTGAGAGGGTTTTGCGCCAGATATGATTGATGATCTTCACTATTTGTTCTTCAAATGTGATTTTCAACTTTGAACACTACTTTTTGGATCATTGTATGATTGTATACAGCAGTTTCACGGCTATGCTTTTTTATTGAAAAAGAAATTTAGTATGTCTTTCATTTTAAAAAACTCCAATATATATTTATACTGTTATCTACACATTTATGAAAGACGAATACATAATGGATATAGTAGCAAAAAGCAAGATGATTTCCTGATATCATGTCGTATCAAGAGAGTCAAGTTTGGGACTATCCTACTAACACTAGGTGTTGGACTTTGCTTGGTGACTAGATGAGTATTTGATATAGGTGACTGACACGAGGTCGTACACGGATCAAAATAAACCTAATTACTATAGTACGGGGTAAGCAACTAGGGTCGTTTCTCAAAGAATCACAATGTTAAATTAATCTATTTGGAGAGTGTATAAGACGGGTGGGGTTTGTTTATAAAGGAAACAAAAACACACTTAATTATAATTAGAATAAAGAGTAAACAAAAATTGAAATTCCAATCCAAGAATTAAGAAGAAAAATGACTACTCTATCACCGGATTTTTAAGAGAGTACATCAACAAATAATTCGGTAATTAACAATGAATCCGAATGAAACCTCAATTCGAACTCAGCATTCATATGAAGACCTTCATGCATTCGATTAGCACATAATTAATTAAAATTTAGAAAACTCTAGAACCTAATTGAATTGTGCCAATTTAATTTACCAATGCTGTTAATCGTAGTTTTCAAACCTGAAAATCCAATTCATGTTCCTTAAAACTCAATTACATACATCAATCGAATAATATGTAATCAACCACATGCATAATCATCAATCCAAACGAATAACTTCAATTGGAAAATATAATTAGCAAAAGGGAGAGAATAAGGAATAGATGAAACCCGAAATTGTTATTGAATTTATGCCAATGTGCGATCAATCAATCCTCAAGAGTGTCACGTCTCTTTTAATCCTTCAATCAGATGGAAATCTAAGCCTTCATGGATGGAGGGAAACAATTCATGAAAGGGGAAAAAAAACGAAAACAAAGAGAAGAGAGAGGAAGAAGAAAAAGTGAGGAGCAAAAAAAAAAACAACTTAAAAGTCAAAATTCCAAATTCAAAATTCCGTTTTTCACTTTGTTCCCTTTTTTTGGCTATGAAAACGGCCTCTTTTTGGTTCATGGCCTGAAGGACAATTGTAGCCTTGGATGTTAGCTTCAAAATGCCACTAGAATGAGCTTAATCGGACATCTGTGGACTGAGATATGGCCCAAATACTGCACCTTACTCAAGATTCGCGACTCCAGCGTTCTAACTTTTTCCAGGCCCAGTTTCAGCTTCTTATCATCAGAATTGGTTTCTGACCTCTCATAGGAATTGTTCACCTTTCTCTTAGCTTTCCTACAAATCAAGAATCACAATTAAAGGAGTTCTACAACTCAAGATATGGTCCAGAAACCAAAACAGTATCAGAATTTGCCAAATACTAGAAAAATTAAATAAAGCCCAAATAAAATCCAAACATCATAAAATGATCCAATTCAACCAATTAGGCAAAAAAGAGGATTAATGAGCTAGGAATTAGAGGAAATAATGTTATAAAAATCCAATTGATCAATGACTTGCGTCCAAGACACTGCACATGTGTAAGGGTAGTTAGCAGGAATTCTGTTATAATTTCACATATGGGAAGTTAGTTAGAAATTGACAAACTATAAATAGTTTTCATCTGTTGTAAGGAGGGAAGTTTGTTTTGTAAAGAATTTCTGTTTGAACTTCATTCTTGTTCTTCAATAAGTAATATTTGGAATTCATTCTTCCATTGAGTTCCCTATTGTCTTGTGAAATCTTCGAACACCTAGCTGTTCCTAGATTCACCTTATCAGTGGTATCAAAGAGTTCGTCCAGGACCTTCTTCAATGGCAGATGCGACAAGAAGCCAGGCTGTGCAACGTGAATTGAATGAGCGCATTGAATCAAGAATCAATCTGCGATTGGATGAAAGATTAATGGCATCGACGACGTCGATTCAGACGAATGTCCAAGAGGCCTTGCAGGTTGATGGATCAATCTATTCAACGTTTCTTCCAAGAAATGCGCCAGCACTTGATCGAATTGACAACGACAAATGGAAGTGTTGTGAATGCAGGACGTAAAGATCATGCGAATAACAATTACTCATGTGGCACTAGGTTAGCATGTATTGACTTTCCTAGGTTTAATGGCAATTCAGTAAATCAATGGATTTACCAATGTAATACATACTTTTCTATTGACGGTACTCCTGAGGATATCAAAGTACGTTTGGCAATTATTCATTTTGTAGGAAAAGCCCTCTTGTGGTATACATCCTTTGTAAAAAGGCTAGGTGTACATACTTTACCCAATTGGACTAAGTTTACTAAGATAGTAACTGATAGATTTAGAGATACCTGTGATGACCCTATGGCTTCTTTGATGAGGCTTTGACAGAAAGGATCAGTAGTTGAATACCATGAGGAATTTGACTCCATAATCTCTAGGCTAGTTTTAACTGAGGATTATATGTTGAGCTATTTCTTAGGAGGATTGAAAAAGGAAATACAACTGATGGTGAGGATGTTCCAGCCTCAGGATGTTCAGAAGGCTTTCATTTTGACGAAATTATATGAATCCACTGCTGCAAACAGTTTTACCTGTAACCCATTTTCTAGACCAAGTAAGATATCACAACCTTCCAAATCCATATTACTTACTAACCCACCTAAACAACCAGCTAACCAAACTACACTCCCCAAGTACCAAACACAAACCAATAAAAAGCTTACCCCAGCCTACATGAATGAGAGAAGAGTCAAAGGGCTTTGTTACTTCTATGTTACTGATTCCCTTGGGGTGCTATGATTTGGTATTGGGAATTGAATGGTTAGTTACCTTAGGAAACATAACCTGAAATTTTGACAAACTCTCAATGGAATTTTATGTGGACAGAAAAAGCTGGTTTTGAGAGGGACTAATCCATCAGGTTTAACAACTATGAAGAAGAAACAGCTGAGCAAGGTCTTGAATTTAGAACCTCAGTTGTCAATGTTGCACATTTGTGACGGAGGTCAAGGAGTTTTTTCTTCCTTAACTACTCATGCTTCTGACACTATTGTACAGGAACCTATTGAAGCTCTCTTATTACAATTTGAAGATCTTTTTATGGAACCAACAAAATTACCTCCAAGAGGCCTACGCATGATCATAAAATACTCCTGATACAAGGGGCAGATCCAGTGAATAAACAACTTTATAGATATGCCAAACGTCAAAAAGATATAATTGACAAGTTAGTTAAGGACTACCTCAATAGTGGAGTGATTCAACACAGCACCAGTCCTTATGCTAGCCTTGTAGTTTTGGTTGGGAAAAAAGATGGTTCATGGAGACTCTGTGTGGATTATAGAGAGCTTAATAAACAAACTATCAAGGATAGATTTCTAATTCCATTGGTGGATGACCTGCTGGATGAACTGCATGGTTCAGTGGTGTTTTCAAAAATTGATCTTCGGTCTGGTTATAACTAGCTAAGAATGGCTGAGAGTGACATTCACAAAACTGCTTTCAAGACACATGGGAGACACTTCGAATACTTGGTGATGTCTTTTGGCCTCACAAATGCACCAGCCACTTTTCAAGAGCTGATGAATGATGTCTTCAAGGATTACTTAAGGAAGGTTTTGTTAGTGTTCTTTGATGATATTTTAATATATAGCAGCAGTTTAGAAAAGCACTTAGAACATTTGCAACTGGTTTTACTTACTATGAGGTCCAATTCCTTATATGCTAGAAGGATCAAATTTTATTTTTGTGTTGAAATGGTGGAATACCTTGGCCATTTTATCTCAAGAGAAGGGGTTGCAACTGACCCTGCTAAGGTCATAGCTGTCCAAAATTGGCCTCTACATACCACTCTTAAACATCCAAGGGGTTTTTTTGGGACTTGCAGGGTATTACAGGAGATTTGTGCAAAACTATAGCTATATTGCTAGACCTCTAACCAACATGCTAAAAAAGGAGAATTTTCATTGGTCTCTTGAAGCATTAAATGCATTTCAGACGCTAAAAGCCAAATTGGTGGAAGCTCTAGGCTTTGCCAGATTTTTTCAAGGTTTTTATTGTTGAAGTGGATGCTTCTAGTCATGGTCTTGGTGCTGTTTTAATGCAAGACCACCACCCTATTGCATTTATCAGCAGAGCTCTGAACTCTCGGCAACGGGCTTTGTCAATCTATGAAAAAGAGCTTTTGGCTGTGGTATTCGCTGTGCAGAAGTGGCGACATTGCTTGCTTAATACAAAGTTCATTATCCAAACAGATCATCAGAGTTTAAAATACATACTCAACCAAAGGTTAACAACTGCTTTTCAACAGAGGTGGCTGCTCAAGTTGATGGAATTTGATTTCTCTATTGAGTTCAAGCAAGGGCATAAAAACGTGGCTGCTGATGCCTTATCAAGACAGGAACATGTTGACTGTTAAGCCATCAACACTTGTGTACCTAAATCTGACTTGTATGATAAAATTAAACAGTCATGGGCTAGTGATAGCACACTACAAGAATTGATCACTGAAATTCAGGCTAATGCTGATTCACATAAACATTATGTTTGGCAGAATAATGAGCTACAAAGAAAAGGGAGGTTGGTTATAGGGAAGGATTGCTAGATCAGAAAAGATATTTTTGATTGGTTGCATGCTTCTGCTAGTAGAGGTCATTCAGGTAGAGATGCTACTTTGAGGAGAATGCAACCTATGGTTTATTGGAAAGGAATGACAAAAGATGTTAGGACCATTGTAATGCAAGGCAACACTTGTCAGAAGTCTAAATATGATACAGCTGCCAACTCAGGACTACTGCAGCCATTGCATATTCCAGGAAGAATTTGGCAGCATATCAATATGGATTTTATTGAAGGTCTCCCAGGATCAAGTAGGAAGCAGGTTATATATGTGGTGGTGGATAGGCTGAGTAAAGCAGCACACTTCATGGCACTTAAACATCCTTACACAGCTACTGATGTTGCTCAATGTTTCCTAGACAATGTGTTTAAGTTGCACGATTTTCTTGAGTCAATAACAAGTGATAGAGACCCTGTGTTTGTGAGCCAATTCTGGAAAGATATGATATCTTGTCAGGGTGTACAAATAAACCTTTCTACTGCCTACCATCCTCAAACTGATGGACAGGCAGAAGTATTGAATAGGTGCTTGGAAACTTACCTTGGATGTATGTGTGTGGATGTTCCTCATGAGTGGTCAAAATGGTTACCATTGGCTAAGTGGTGGTATAATACTACCTACCATTCTACAATCAGAACCAGCCCTTATGAAGTTGTGTATGGTCAGCAGCCACCAGTGCACTTACCTTACCTTCCTGGGGAGTCTAGGGTTGAGTTAGTGGATAGAAGCTTTTAGAAATGGGAAGAAATGTTGAAGGTGGTTAAATTTCATTTGGAAAGAGCTCAGGAACGAATGAAATAGCTTGCTGACAAACATAGATCTGACAGACAATTTGAGGTTGGTGACTGGGTCTATGTGAAACTTTATGCTTATAGACAAATTTTTGTTGCACAACGGGTCAATGCTAAGTTGTCCCCAAAGTATTATGGTCCCTATACAATTCTAGATAAAATAGGTCTAGTTGCATGTAGAATTCAATTACCAGCGGGATCCAAGGTCCACAATGTCTTCCATGTATCCCAATTGAAGAAGCATGTTGGAAAGACACCTGTTTCCAGCAATTGTCCTGAAGTTTTTGATTCAATTGGGGGAGGACGAGAACCTAAATCCATCCTTGACAGAATGATCGTGAAGAGGGGAAATATGCCTATCACCAAGGTTTTGGTCAAGTGGAAGCATCAGCTGCTAGAGGATGCCACATGGGAGTTTTATTATGACTTGAAGCGGAAGTTTCCTCATTTCAATCCTTGAGGACAAGGATTATTTTATGGGAGGAAATATTGATATAGGTGACTTGCGTCCAAGTCACTATACACGTGTAAGGGTAGTTAGCAGGAATTTCGTTATAATTTCACGTATGAGAAGTTAGTTAGAAATTGACAAACTATAAATAGTTTTCATCTATTATAAGGAGGGAAGTTTGTTTTGTAAAGAATTTTTGTGTGAACTTCATTCTTGTTCTTCAATAAGTAATATTCGAAATTCATTCTTCCATTGAGTTCTCTATTGTCTTGTGAAATCTTCAAACACCTAGCTGTTCCTAGATTCACCTTATCAGTATTCTTGGTTCTGTGAGAATACTTTTTTTTTTTTTTCCTTACCTCATGTACCTAAAAATATGTTCCACATTAACTTTAATATATTTTTAAATTATATAATTATATTTTGATTGATGTTCAATTATTAAATGATTTAACACAAATAATATAGGTCATGAATAATTACAATTTATTGGTTGGACAAAAAACACCTGCTTGAAATAAAATTAAAATAGTGTAAATAATATCGAGTAGAGTATAGGGGTGTGCATGGTTTGTATTTACACAAAACCAATCCAAATCCATTTTAAATCTAGTTATATGGATTGAATTCTAAACCAATTTATTTTATTTTTTAAAAATTGGTTTAAAACTGATTTTAAAATTTGGATTTGGTTTAAAATTAGTTTTAAATTCAATTTTTGTTAAAACTGGTTTTAAATTCAATTTTGGTCAAAACTGGTTTTAAATATGATTTTAGTCAAAAACTAATTTTTAAGCAAATAAAATATTTACTAAAAATTGTTACTCTATGAAAATTTCACCAGCTTTTAAGCTATATATTCCATTAGGTCTTTTCTCTGAATCTGGATCTACATATCTCAAAGTAGCTAAGAAGACCAATTTCATAGATCTAGTAGATGGTCTCATCTCAACGTTTAGGTCTACGACTTTTTCAGATTGCTTGTTTCCAACCACCATTTTAAGCCAATCAACCATATTAACCCGAGGGCATTGTAAATGTTAGTCAAAACTCTTCGACCAGAAGTAAAAAAGGAATCCTATATTGTGATTAACACCTAATGTACAAGACAAGCACACTACTTTTTTTTGGTTGAATAAGTCAAACTCACAAAATTAACACTTTTGGATTATTCATTGAATTTAATCAATTATTGTAAAAGAACACATACTCTAAGATGGATTTTCTTCCAACATAAAAGTCAAGTTTACTCACTTCCTGTGTTGGACAACTATAGTTAATTGGATCTCTCTAGTAATTGCCTCCAATAACACAATACCAAAGCTATAAACGTCAATTTTTTCATTTAGAAGACTAGTATTTGCATATTCAGGAGCCACATTGAAGCCATTGTTTGTTGAACTTGAAACTAACCTCATATGAAAATTACATAGGTATTTTCATGATTCCAGACAACTATAATTCAATTCTTTTAAGAAAGCTATTAAGATTGTAATATAATCCATGCAGTACCCCAAAAGAGGAACCAAATTTTTATGTCAAACATGTCCAATAGCTTTAACTTTCACTCTAAATTCTTTCTCTGCTTGACCACTGCCAAAAAAAGGATAAAATAAAACTAGTCAAAATTTTTGCAAAAGTCTAAGGAATAAAAATAAACCAATTAAAGTAACTTGGAAACCTTGGACATTGTACTGGAACTAACATAAAGTAAAAAACAATCAGAATGTTCAACTTCAGAGTCCATACAACTAGCTCAATGAAAAAGAAGAAACAAGTTGACAAGTTCTGTGTAGCATAATTTTTTGTGGCCATTGATGAATCCATAATTTATAGATATTTTGTTTGGCTTTTTATATATTTTTAATAGAAAAATAGACTTAGAAATTGTAAATAGTATAAAAATCTCATTTAGGTAAAATATTATAGCTTTCTTAATTTTTACCTTATTTACACTAATTTTTGTAAATATATTTTATAATTTTGATCATTTGATTAACTGTGCAAGAAATTTCAGACAAATTCCATGGATTTTTGGTTCACACATTTCCCGGGAACTTCCGAGAAGGTCACCCATCCCATAATTGCTCTAAGTTAATCACGCTTAACTTTGGAGTTTTTAAGTGATACGCCACCAAAAAGTAAATGTATTTTGTTAGTATAGGTAGTTCTAATCAATTATTTTAAGCTATCCTCAACTATATACACAGTCTCTGGATCCCTCTCATTCTAGTGTAAGTTCGATTCGTTCATGTGTCCCTTACCGCTGAAAGCATGCCAGGAGCCACTCCTTGTCCGTGCCACACATTGCACCGACGATTACTTCCCGCTCTTGCCTAGCGCCTAGATGTCATAGAAAAAGGGAATCCTAAAGAATGTTGCGCGTGTTCAATCTTGTAAGCAAGAGTGATCACTATGAAGTGGCGTCAGACTTAGTATATATAGATTTTTGGGAATTAGGTTAAGGAGCTTTTTACACTTTTAGATTTTTGTCATTTTATGAACACTTGCAGAGCTTAGGTTAGCCTTGGGTGACAGCCAAAGACTTAACCTAGGGTTTGATTTACATTTTCTCTTTACTTTCCTTTGATTTTTACATTGATGTCATTGAATTTTCTTTATTTTCATTTTGTATTTTTGAGACCCATCCTTATGGAGGGCTAAATCCTTTGTAATCCTTAGTGAGTTCACTTGGATTCTTGAATTCCTAGGTTATTAATGTTAATACAATTCCTTTTCCTTCATGAATTTCTTTTTTCCAATCCTTTGAATTGAATTAATGGTTGAATGAGCGAAACATTGCTTAATTAACCCTAATTTGTTTTAATGAAGTTCTTAACTTAGGTTGCTATTCTGAGTTAATTTTTAAGGTTGTGTAATCTTGGGAAAAGGGATTGGAGTCTATTGAATTTGCTTAAATTCGTATGAGGTTTTAAGGTTAATTCTTTCTTGTTGAATTAATCTAATTCAAAGGAAGAGAAAGAGTGTTAAATGTTGAGAGGAATAGGGATAGAATCACGTGAATGAACTAAGGATTGCTACATCTTATTGATTGAATTTGATAATTTCATTACTTGCTTTTTACATTGAATCTAGAAATCAACAAACTCCTCTTTTTTAATTGCTTTCATAGTGAATATTTGCAACATGTTTAATGCATATTTTCAACCAAAGTCATTGGAGACAACGTAAGCTTGCATCCTAGACTACATAAAACTTTTGCATACTTTGATGAGGATTGACGATAAATCTTTATGCAAATCTAGCGATCATCAGCCATCTCCAAAAGGGACAAAACAGTAGGGAACAACATATGGCAACAAGTTTACTGCTACTATGAATACATCAACACAAAATAGAACACAATTTTCTGGGAAAATAATAATAGAAGCTTAAAATAAAGGGACAACTAAAGTTCCAATATGTTACTATAAAAATTCTCTCTCTAGAAACATGACCATATTGTGTTACTTAACAACATCAGAGCATCCAAATCCTCAAAAAACTATGAAGTAATAGAAAATAAGCAAAAATTTCTTTGACAACTAAAGGAGAAGAAACATGTCTTTATGTATTTGCTATTGATGATGATTCCAGACTTCAGACCGATTCTTACGCTTATCAAATCGAGATTGACATATTAGCAGTGTTAGAGACTGATGGTGGAGAAATCAAATGCTCTGTTGTCTTAAAAGGCATAAAATCATCTTGATCATCCATTTTGTCTACTATTTTGCATTAAAAATTAAAATAAAAATATTTAAAAAATTATCAAAATAAAAAAAATCATTGACCAGTCACATTAAAGGGCAATAAGGAGAGCTAAAAACTTAACATCACTTTTGCAATAGATATTATTTAATAGGCACAAGCTATCAAGTTAGTAGTTATTAAACAAAGATAAGGCAAAATGACCAGCAAACACAGTAGTTAAAATTGGGATTTAAACAATAAAATCCAACAATTTCAAAATTTGAGAAGGCTTAAACAATTCAATTAACTGAAAAAATCTTAAAGATAAAATTTAACATAGTAACTGATGAATATGGGACAACTAAATTTGAGAGAAAGAGAACATAAAAACTCCCAGAAAATAGCAATAAAGTGAACAATTATCTAAGAATAGTTCCACCAGTGTTTGAAGCACCACCAACAAGCCATTTATCATCAACATGATAAGCAATAAATAACAAAATGAAACATAAATGAAGTGATAACAAAAAGTTTCTAGTGTTGGTATAAAATCTATGTGTTGACATTAGATAAATATAGCATGTTGACAAAGGTGATATGTAATATTCCCAAATTCAGTCTACTTACATAGATTGCCTAATTGTCACTAAGTGTACCTTTTGTTGATTTCTTTTACCCTGACTTAAATTTTGTTATGAATTAAGTTATTTTATGCGATTGTTTAACTTTTAACCTTTTTTTTCTTTTTTTGTTTTGCTTGTGGTTCTTGCTTGCATTTTTTTTTATATAATGTGATAATGCTTAATGTACTTATTTCTCTTTATATATGTGTGTGTGTGTGTGTGTGTGTTTTCATGGTCATGTGGAGGAATATTTTGAAAACCCTAGAATAATAAGACAAACCCTAGGATGAATTTATTCTGTGATCAGAATGAGTGGATCCCGCTTTATTATTAATACTATTATCATTGCTGACTGACCCTGGATCCTTCAACTTTTAAGGTAGTTTTCTCTGCAAAATGGCACTGCACTCTTCAGTGAGTGATACCAATTTTTCCATATCCAGCTTCCTTTTTTTAGACAAAAGCTCTATCATAAACTTTGCATAAGAAGGCATTTGTTCTAATGCCTCTACAAAAGGAATATTGATTTGGAGCTTCTTGAACACATCTATGAATCTTTCAAACTGCCTTTCTTGTCTAGGATCTTGTACTCTCTTTGGAAAAGGTAATCTCTTGTATTGCTCTTCATTAATAGGCTTGTAGGCCTGCTCAAATCTCTGTTTCTTGCCCCTCTTTTCTTGCTTGTTACTACAGTTTTCTTCTTCTTCTCCCCTCTTCAGCATAGTGTATTTTCCACTTTCAAAATCTTCTTGTTTCAGCTCACTTTCCTCATTTGAGTTGGTGACTTCATTTTTCTTTCTTGGGCTGGAAACAACTGCTCTACTTCTGGTGGTTATGGCTTGGCGCTGCTCCCTTAGATTCACTATTGTGCTACTAGGAAACCTTCCTTCATCTCTATTGGCCAGTTGCTCAGCCAACTGCTCAATTTGTGTTTCTAGCTTCTTTATAGAACTTTCTTGATTTTTGAAATTTGTTTCTGTCACCTTCATAAACTGTAGTAGTGTCTCTTCAATTCCATTCACTTTCTCACTCAAGGGTCTTGAATGTGAGTACCCTTGATTTTTCTGGAATTATGCCGAAGAATACCCTTGAAAATATTGTTGCTAAACTTAAGGGGCTGCACTTGGGAAGGGTGCAGAACTGCATTTTGTTGTTACAATTCTAAATACTAGCAAGTGCACTAGGAATTGCAATAAGTAATGAGTAAATTTAAGATCCAAGTATCGTCTCCATAGGGAATTAGGAATTCAATAACCAATTCATAGAGCAACAACTAGTTGAGTCATACAAATTTGGAAAGGATGTAACATATGAAAGCAATGAACTAGAACAATACAAAGAATTAAACTTGCAATAAAAACAGAGTATGTAAATTGTGTTGAGATGAGATACAAATGAAGGATAGTTAGGAATTTACTTCACAAGAATGTCAATATTGATTAAATTATACTTCTGAATATTCAAGCAATTGGTTAATTGATAATCAGTTTCACATATAGCTAGTCAAAGGTTAATCCCTTAACTTATTGACCTTAACAATCTACTAAACCCCCGTAATCCCTTAGGTGAAGTTCAATTTCATGTTGCATTAAGACTTAGAACTATAGGATTGCAGAATTAAGTGTACTTATCCCTAAGAAACCCCTAATTCTGGTTGTTAATTTAGATCAGAGAATCAAATCCAATTCCCATTGGCAAATGTTCCTCTTTGATTAATCAAATGAATTCCCATTCAAAGATTACGTAAAGTACAAAATTGACAACTCAATTAATCCAAAAACTCAAATTTCAAAAGTAAGAATCAAATCAATACATCAATTCGAGGTCCATAAACTCCTAACTACAAAAAATTACACAGACATTGTGACAGAGAAAGAGAAAGAAGGAGAAGAAGAGAAGAAACTCAGAGAAGCCATCTCCACGAGCTCCAGTCCAATCCCTTTTCTTGAAGCTTCGAACTTCAACCCCAATCCTTTCTCTCACTCACTCTCAACGAGAATCTAACAGAAAAATTGGAAAATGAACAAAAGACCCCGAGTTCTGAGCTTAAAACATGTATTTATAGAAATCTTGATTCTGTGCATTGTCACTCTTACTGATAAGAGTGGCCACGCAGAAGCTCATGTGGTTTCTGGAAACTGGAACTATCAATTTTGCTGCTAAGAGTTGCAACACAGAAGGTCAAGATGTTGTGCGTAATCACTTTTATGAGTAAAAGTGGTCACGCATAACTTGTCAAGTTGAGGACTCTCTGGAGCATCCACTTTCAATGATAAAAGTGGTTACGTAGAATACTTTGAAATTTTGCCTTCTTTGGAACGCTCACTTTCGCTGATAAAAGTGGTTACGCAAAGCCTGCTGAGTCTGAGACTTCTTTGGAACACTTACTTTTGCTGGTAAAAGTGGTTGTGCCCAGACTTTACTTCTTCCTTGAGCTCTAGAGTGATCACTTTCATTGACAATAGTGATCACGCCCAGCCTGCATTCCGTTGTTCTTATGTTTTGGAGTCCAGAATTGCTATTCTTCCTCTTCCTTTCCATTGATAATCCATTTCCATGAACCTTGCTTAGATTATTCCTACAAAAACAAGCATAAATTTCACAAATGTTAAGCTAACTACATAATAAAACAAAACCTTCAATTATTCTATTTTTTTCTAGTTTTTCTGTTGTTTCTTACATGTTTTCCTTATCAAATGGGTTAGAATTACACTAAAATATGAGTCAAAATATGGATTCATCACTACCCCAAACTTGAATTTTTGCTTGTTCTTAAGCAAATCAAACTAAAGCAAGGGTAAGTTCCTCTATTTTCAAAATTCACAAACTGCTTATTCAGATTTTTCCAATCTCTAATTCTGTGTTTTCTGGAAAATTTTCAATCAAGTTATTCGTCCAAATACTCATCATGATATTCATACTGCATAATCATCATTGAATAAGAATTGTTATCTAAGTTCATATATTTCATCAAAATTCATCTGAGCACAATTAATAAACATGATCACAGCTCACTTGGAAGTGTTTCCCTCATCACTTAATAATGTTTAGGTACTATTTTCTCTTTAATCATCAATTTAACTACACTCTACCATATGCTTGCCCATATTCTCAATTTCCTCCGCTTAATACAGTTAATCACACATCCAAAGGACTTTTTCAGGTTATAACATGGCTAAGGTCAAGGTAGGTATTGAAAAAAATGGGAAACAATATATGCAATTTCAAAAGATCAGAGGCATTTTGAGTGAATGACTTTAAAACTAGAATGGGTTTGCATTATTTTTCACTAATACCCTCAACTATGCAGCAAACAAAATTATTTTTGTGTAGTAGAATTTTCATTTTCTTTCTCTCTTTTCTTGCTTTCATTCACTATTTTCTTTTCATTGAATTTCTTTTTCTTTGTCTGCAACAGTTTGCTGTAAATCTTTCTTTTGAACTCACATTTTACTCTTTTCACAACTTTGCTGCATATTTTTCATTTTTCTGTAGCACTTTTCCTCTTTCTTTCTGACTTTTTGAACTCAAAACTTAGATAGCTTGCTATTCCCCACCCCAAACATAGAACATTGCTTGTCCCCAAGCAATTAAAATGTGGATGCCACCCCAAACTTAGTTTTAAAACTCATTCTTGATTAAACTCACTATGCCTCTTTTCATTTGAATGGTAAAACTATTTTTTTTTTCCAGCAAGGTTTATAATGAGGTAATTTCAAGAAAAAGAATATTAAGCTCAAAGAGGTGAACGAAGATAATTAAACACAAGGAAGACATTTAGGCTAACTAGGCATAATCAAACATGGCCTCCATCATATAAGTGAAAACTGTAAATGGCATATTCAATCAAGAAACCAGGCAAGTTCTAGAGGGTGTAGCAAATTATGATTAATCACACATAAAAAAGAAGCATGCAGCTCAAGTCTCACTAGGATTTTGTAAGTGACATGTTAATCAATGAACTCACAATTCACTTTTCAGAATTATATGCACCTAGTGGCAATCCTGCCTCATTTTGAAAATACAAGTGTGATTTCATTTTGAGAATAGGAAAAACAACTTAAAAAAAATAAATCAGAATTCACAGAATTATCAATTAAAAAGCAATTGTTTCACAAAAGATAGTTCAACATGTATTCTACTATTAGTAAAATTTCAGTGTATTGTGTAGCTAACACATGAATCAAGAGGTAAAGAATAACCCCCCTTTCATGGCAGCTTGTGCATATGTGAACATCCATTGTGTGTGAGTGCTGTGATTATGACATTCTCTGCACAAAACACCAAAATTCCATCAATTATAAAAAAAAATAAAGTAATTAAAACTGCAAAATTCTAAAATGAACAAAAATTGAACTTTATTACAACTAAATATTAAAATTGTTCTATGACTAGCTGCATTTACAAAAATTAAACTGCTAATTGCTAAAATTTACAAAATCTAAAATTAAAAACAACAAAATTAAAATCCTAAACTATTCTTCTGCTCCATCCTCCTCCTCTGAGGTATCTTCCTCCTCTTCTTCATTTTCTTCTTCTTCCTCCACCACCTCTTCCTCTACCACTTCTTCCTCTACTGGCTGAGGAATGTGTGTTTTATAGATGGGTAAATCCTTAAACACAGAGGAGCGAAGGCATTGTGCATTTTCTGCCAAATCAGGTGTGTGGTACATCTCCTCTTTGTTCATTCCCAGCTTTTGACCAATGTTGAGCAGTACACACTCTAGCAGCATTATTCCAGCCTTGAGACTGCTGTGCAGCTCAGTTTGCCTTTCAGCTAGCTGATTTTGTTTCTCAGCCATCAGCTTTAATGCATCTTTCATCAGCATTGGTTTCTCCTTTTTGTATTGGGAAGGGATGGGGGCTGCAGAGGTGCAAGAAATGGTGGCATAAATTTCCTTCACAATGGATGCAGAGATGGGAGTTGTAGCTCTAATCTTTTCTTGATATTCCCCAAACTCAACCCCTGCATCTTCACAAAGTAGTGTGATGATTAAAGGGAAAGCCAAAGAATCCCTCTTTGTCTTCACGATGTTCAGGATGCACTAACTTATTATCTCCCCCACATCAATGTATATATCTGTGACTATGCCAAACAACAACTCAGCCTTCTTCATTGCCAAGGTAGAGCTGTGTTTTACTGGCATGAAAGAGTTCAGAATGAACATGCTCAATACCTTGGCAAAAGGCAGCAAATTCTTAGTGATTATACACTTTGGCTTCTTGGCCTGGTTCAACTTCCAAGTTGTACCTGGCTTGCCAATTTTCTCCAAGATCTGCACATAGTCAATATCTGGGCTCTTCCTGAATGAGCTGAAGTCCAACTGTGCAGGGTGTCTTTCAGCATTGATGTCCAGCACCCTGTTGATATTGGCAGGTGAGAAATCTATCCTCATCCCTTTGACCATTGTGTTGTACCTAGGGAATTGGTCTCCCTTGAACCTCATGGCATTTGTATAGAATTCCTAGGTTATTTCCCTCCAATCCAGACCAGCTGCAGAACAGAGTAACTCCCATCCCATCTTTTGGATCTTCTTTCTATATTCTGGGTAATTGTCCCCAGCTATTTTGAATGCTCTGTCAGGGATAATTTTCCTCCTCAAAATATTGGCCTTGAAGAAGTTTTCATGAGCAATGCTCCTAAATCTTGGATCACATAGTTCAATTGGGGATGAAGCTGAGGCACCATCTGTTCTGGCCTTCTTTGATTTGGGTGTATTTCTAGTTGCTCCAGCTTGGATATTTCCGTTGGATCTCCTCTTTGGAGTGTTGCTGGAAGATCCAGCCTGAGTCTTCCTAGAGGAGCCAACTGATGTGTTCATAGAAGTTCTAACCATTTTTCAAGTTCTGCAATGAAGAGCTAATTGGTCAGTTTAGATTTTTACCAAGCATAGCTACAGAAGTATAGATTTTGTAATGAAGAAAATTCCATCAAACAAATTACAGAAATTCCATTTTTTTTCAAAAGAAAAAAAAAATAATATGCAAT